TTCCTTTCTTTTTCCTCTAACAACTGTTGTAATTTCTCTTCTCGTTCTTCTTGTTTAATTTCTCGTTCTTCTTGTTTCCTTTCTTTTTCCTCTAACAACTGTTGTAATTTCTCTTCTCGTTCTTCTTGTTTAATTTCTCGTTCTTCTTGTTTCCTTTCTTTTTCCTCTAACAACTGTTGTAATTTCTCTTCTCGTTCTTCTTGTTTCTTTTGCTGTTCTTGTATTGCTGCCATCAAGTCTGCTGTGCTGTAGTTTGATTCGCCGCTTCTCGTTTCCATTTTTTTTTGTCCCACTCTCTGACACCAATTTGTTACGTCTCCGTTTGTTAATTAACTTTCCGTAACTTCGTTCCGACGAAATTTTAGCGACATAAGTCCTTACTTAATAAAACTTGTTTATTCTTTCTGAATATAACTTTACCGATACACTTATTTTCAACAGTCGCTCTGTAACAAACGTTTTAACAACGGACGTTAACTTCAACAATACTTCTGACTGCAGTTCAATTACTCACTACCTACACACATAATCGCGTCACGCCGTCACCCTCTGATATATATACCAGGCTACCCTATATCTAGCAAATGCTAGGGCATTCACGAAGGAACAAGATAGTTCTAGAAACGTGGCATGACACTAGTCACGTGACCTCGCTGACGCAACAATATTAACGCCTTACAACAAACAGAGAAAGATAAAAACCATGTTCGTAACCATATCACTTTCTTCCTTTTCTGAAAAAAAAAGTCTCCTAGTGACACAGCGGTATGTCTGCGGACTTACAACTCTGGAAACCGGGTTTTGATACCCGTGGTGGGCAGAGCACAGATAGCACTTGTGTAGCTTTGTGCATGATTAAAAACAAACAAACAAACAAAATGAAAAAATAAGAGACTATACTTGATAAAGCCCCAATTTCTTAATCAACATATTTGAATAAACAGCTTGATAAAATCAGAAATTTTAATTTCTTAAAGTTTTGAAAATGTTCCCCCAAGGTGGTTTTATTCTTAAATTAAATAAAATTATGAAATTTTGTTTTCTCCTCTTTAAACTTTTAATACTTAGAGTAAAACAGTTTTCGTGTACTTCGTTTTAATTTTTATCACTATTTTATAAGTAAAGCTCACAGTGGTCCCTAGGCTTCGTTCTTTACTAAGTTAAGGTAAGCGCCATGTGTTTGAAACTTTATTTTTTAGTTTCAAACGAAGTTACAGTAATTATGTAAATTGTGATGTTATGGTGTGAGTATTTACTAAAAAAAAATGTAATATTACGACTAATAATAAACTAATTTTACTTGTGCGTTAAGATAAACAGTGAGTTAGTGCTGAAATTAGAATAAACATTTTGAGTTTGAATTAAGTTCGAGCCAGAATAAAACTGAGAAGGTAAGTTCGTAAACGTTGTTGTTTCTCCGTGGCCATAAACTATATATAGAATTATAAGTTAATCTTATGTGTGCCTTGTTTTTAAATTTTAGTTTTCATTTACCAACTTTAGTTTAGGATACTTAAAATAAACATAAAGCCCAATCAATGAATACATCATTCGATTTACTGATACTTAACTCGAAATATTTTTTTCCCTTAATCATGTATCATACAACTTGTAATTTTCAATTTCAGTGAATGAGCACCTCACCTAAGTAAAAAACATTTTAAAAAGTAAAACTTAAAAGTTATGTTTAACATTATTCAAGACGTTTTCAAAAAATACAATTTATTTTTACCATAATATAATTAAAGTATTATATCATTGGGAGGATTATTTTAGATTATTTGGTAAATATAACTAAAAAGGCCAAGTCTAGTTTACATAATGATAAAGTAGTTTAGTGTTTCCTTAACATGTACTTTGTAGTTGTTTGTACACAGGTGTAGCCCTAAGTATATAAATAAAAGTTTCTAACATAAATTCTGTAACTAAATGTAGTTCAAACTTACAATGTTTCAATAAAAACTGTATGATGTATGTACAGTTTGGCTCCCTAACTTTCAGTTTGATCAATAATTGAATAAACACTTAACTCGGTGAGTATCAGAATAGTCACAATAAATCTTGCTATTGACACTGATTTAAATCACTTAACATTAATCACACTGAACTCTCATTTAATACTTTACTCGGACATTCTGGCACTCTGACACAAATTAATTGCTTACTCATATTTATAATTAATGTATCTGTCTAGATCTTAGTTAAGTTTACTAGATTTAAACCTCATCCACCCTCTAATTGACAGATAAATTAAAACATTGAACATAGAACTTTCAAACACTGCTCCTTCCTGGATTCTAAAATTCCTTGAACAGTCCTGGTACAAAAATGAGATACTACACTAAACTGTCCATAAACTAAGAATTTTATGATTGTTTTTCTTCTGAGGCCCATTGTATGCAGATGGGATGAACTTTTGACCTTTATCATCATTGGTTGTTTTGTCATTTTTGGGGATTTCTTCCTTGGTAGGTGACATGACTTCACTGGTGGCTGTGTCCTTGTTGATCTTCTTTAAACATTCTTTACATGAAATCAGGGCTCCTCAGCAGGTTAATTTTCTCCTGACAGTTTCCTTCTTGGAGTTACCCCGTTGTCTGTCTTCTCACTGACACGATGATTGCAGTGAATTACCTTTTTCTTAGATCACTTATCTTTAAACTACATCATTGATCCTTTTCAGTACAATGTATGGTCCTGTCTAACTTTAGAGTTTGTCATTCTTTGTGACAGGAATTGTTCAACCATACTACGTCACCTTGAAGGACTGCTCTGGTTCTTAAAGAATTGGTGGCAAAAACCCACCAACTTCATAATTCTGTTGTCAGTTTTCAAAACTAGGAGCTAACTCTTGACCAATGAATTTGAGGTGTGTGTGTATATATACTCATACAAATTGTACAAATCAGAATAACAAGCAATAAATTTTATGCTGGTGCAAAAAAAATTGCCAAAAGCTGGATTTTTGTCACCAACAAGAGTAAAAAATCACAAAATATATTTATCAGTATTAACATCACATTTTATCACAAGAAGATTTAAGCCTTTACTGGGTAAAATCATGTATGCCATCTTATTCTTTATGTCTACATGAGTTCTTTCTTCCAACTATCAATCCTTCAAGTGTTTATTTTCTACTGTGTCCTAATAACTAATGTATATTTATTGCTAATTTCTCTTGATATGGATATTTCAATTTTTGGTAGTACAAGGACCACCCTCCCTGTTGTCACTGGAATTTCAACTTCTGGTTTAGTAATTATCATGGGGATTTCCTGGTCATAGATTATGAAACTATTTGAGTTAGCCTAACCTTACATTCATGTCATCTTCACATGAAGTCAGTTTCTAATATGCACTCAGTGTCAGTTATGCATCATGAATTGTGTAAAACCTTCCTACATTAACTGCTTCCTTGGTTATCCTGAGTATACAAGGGCCAATTGGTCTTGTAAGTAATTATTATACCATGTTAAGTCGGGATGCTCATACTCTGAGAGTTTTTCACCTGAGTGCACTTGTTGTGAGACTGAAATTCTGTTTTATTCTAGTTCCATATTGACCAATAGATGGCAGTTCAAGCAGATATTTTTATAGTCTGCTTCTGATAAGAAAACGAGATGGTAATGGGAAGAGAAAGCAGGTATTTCTGTCCCGACTGTGATGTACCACTCTGTGTCGCATCTTACTTACAATTCTACCAACAAACATCTAGTTCAACATGTAAATAGTCATACTGACAGGTTGTCTTTTTACTTATTTTGTTATAGTTATGCAATTGTTTTCTGCAGATATTTCATGCAAATAAACCTAGATGTAAGGTATAAAAATGATATATTTAGGTCTATTTGCATGAAGTAACATAGATATATTATTTTATTTACACCTTTCTTATATCTCAGGTTTATAATAAAAACTTTATTATACTTTTTTTTTGTTGTAATAAATTGATAAACT